TATTTTAATTTTTTTTTCTCTTCTCCTAGTCATAAGGAAAAGACGAGATGCCGACAGAGGGCATAATTCGACCAGGAGTGTTGAACGCACCTGAAATGCCGCAACCTCAGGAAATGCCGATAGCGCAGATTCCTCAGATCGCCCCTCAGGTTCCGCAGATTCCGCAGATACCTCAGATACCTCAAGTACCGCAGATACAAGAGATCCCTCCCTTACCTAGGGACACATTGGCAGAGGCGCACGCCAATGCATTGGAGTGGATGAAGATAAGGGCAGCGACCACGCAGGATCTACGGAGAGCAATCGCAGACCTGGAGCGATTCGGGGGCGAGATAGGTGAACTTAATCACTTCCTGAAAGGTGGAGACCGCCTCATATCAAGAATCGAAGCAAAGGTGGCGGAGGACCTCGTGAACCTGGGAGACGCAGAAGCACTGAAGGCAGCTCTCGTGTGCCGAGTGAGGAGGAACATCCTCAACCAAATCCAAGCGGACGAGGAGACACCATGGCCAGTGATTAAGGAGCGTTTGAAGAAGGCTTTCGGAGGGGGCCGATGGACGCCGGAAGAAGATATCTTCCAAATGTTTAGGGAGTGTCGGTCCCAACGCCAAACAAGAGGACAGTATGCGGGGGTACTAGTGGCGAAGTACAACCGCATAACTGAGAAAATGCGTGAAACCATGAGTGTGGGAGAGGTCGAAGCTAGGATGGAATTCCTTTCGACAATACTCAAGGTTCAGTTGGCTAAGGAGACTGGGAGAAGGGACGGACTGCCTAGAGAGCGATCGTTCCTCGAGTGTGCCCAAGAAATGATAGATCTGAGTGCAAGAGAGGAAGAGACGCGGATGGAAGTAGAAGAACCAGGGTGGACCCGAGTGAGTGACAGACGACCCCGGACAGCCCAGATAGGGTGGAGGAAGAGGGAAATGAAACACCCGAACGGAGAAAAAGCCACGACGGGCGAGAGAAGATCCGGACAGTCCAGGCCTAGGAATGGACCCCGGAGGGAAGACAGAAAATGTCACGGGTGCGGGAAACCGGGACATTTGGTAGCACAATGTCCGCGCACTAGATGTTTCGAGTGCGGGACTGAAGGGCATATTGCCAGACAGTGCCCGTACATGTTTCGCAGGAGAGAGAGACCTCTAGACGAGCCAATGGAGGTGAACGCTCAAAAGTTGAAAAAACGAGCTAGGATGCAGCAGAGAGACGGATCTTCGGAAGAGGCAACCGAGGAGTCGGGGACGTCGGGAACGGAGACTGACGAGCCAGCCAGCAGTGGAGGCGAAGGAGGCAGGAGCAGCCAACGGAGCGAGCAACGACGAGCGACGGCGGTAAGGAGGAAGCGAGGTGGCATCTGAGAAGGGTGTCAGCAGAGAGGCGACCGCACAGCAACCTGCAACAATATTAGAGGTAAGCCATGCTGGTTGCCGATTATTGAAGTAGACGGGGGAGTGAAGTGTCTCGTGGACACAGGGAGCTCGAGTACTATCTTGACTCGGGGGGCGTTGGGGAGAGTGTGCGGGAGCGAGAGGGTACTCCGGATACAAAACTGTGGCTGCCAGCTAATCACTCTGGGTGGTCCCTGTAAAGTAGAAGGGGAAGCGTCAATTACGCTTGATCGGTGGGCAGGGAAAAAGGGGGAGCTAAAGGTGCATGTGGTAGAGAGCATGACGCGGGAGTACCAAGTCATAATAGGGTGTGATCTGTTAGGACAGGTAGGGGTAAGCATTAGAAACCGTAGAGGAGCTTGGAGTATCAGGCTGGGAAAGAGGAAATTTGGATGTATAGGGGTCGCGAGAGAAAGAAGGGTGCGGATAGGAGCGGTGAACAGGGTGGAGGACTGGAGAAAGGCGTTACAAGCGGAGTTCGTAGATATTTTCTTCAGGGAGGGCGAGGTATTGGGGGTAACAGGGAAGACGGTACACGAAGTTCCACTGAAGCAAGATAGGGTGACCTACGTAAAGGAAAGGAGATACCCGCAGGCGCTGAGGCAGCATATTCGGGAGGAATTGGAAAGCCTAAAGGAGCAAGGGATCATAGTCGATAGCACCTCGCCATTTAATAGTCCCCTGTGGGCAGTGAAAAAGAAGGCAGCGCCGGGGGATAATAAGGAAAAATACAGAGTGGTAGTGGACTATCGTAGGTTGAACGACAACACGGTAGACGAAAAGTACCCGATCCCTAGATTCGAAGATATACTTGATAGGTTGAGTGGGGCCGTGGTGTTTAGCACGTTGGACCTCAAGGCGGGATACCACCAAATACGGATGCACCCGAAGGACCAACATAAGACGGCGTTTACATTCGAAAGGGGGCATTACGAATTCACCAGAATGCCGTTTGGTCTGAAGAATGCGCCCATAACGTTTCAACGCCTGATGGACGAATTTCTGAGGGGGATCGACGACTCCGTATGTCAAGTATACATGGACGACCTGCTGATTTTTAGCAGAACGGAAGCCGAACACGTGGGGCATTTGAGGTCGGTATTCGAAAGGCTGCGACAATTCGGGCTGAAACTGTCAAGTGAGAAGTCCCTGTTGGGACAAACGCGGATCAATTTTTTAGGCCACACTATTTCTAGCGAGGGGGTCAGACCGGATGCGGCAAAGGTGGAGGCTATCACACGAATGGCGGTGCCACGGGACGTTAAAGGGATTCGTAGGCTTCTCGGGACGCTGAATTATTATAGAAGATTCGTACCTGAGATGGCAGAATACTTGGTACCTATCAATAACTTGCTGAAGAAAGGCGCGAGGATCGTGGTGACACCGGAAATGGAAAATAATATTCGGAAATGCATGGATAGGTTGCAGGCAGAACCCGTATTGGCGTTCCCGGATTTTGAGAAGCAGTTCAACGTCACCACCGATGCGAGCGAATACGCGTTGGGGGCCGTTTTATCCCAGGGCAGAAGTGAGGGTGAACGTCCGATAGCATACGCGAGCCGACGACTTACGAGCGCGGAATCACGGTACAGCGCGTTAGAGAGGGAGCTACTCGCGATAGTGTGGGCCATCGACCATTTCAGGCCATATATATTTGGGAGGAAGTTTCGAGTCCACACCGATCACAAACCCCTTCAGTGGGTAGGAAAACTTAAGGAAACCTCTGCGAGGGTCACGAGATGGAAAGAATTCCTTAGTCAGTACAACATGGAGGTGGTGTATAAGCCGGGAAAGGAAAACGTGGTGGCAGACTGGCTCTCTAGGGCCATCATGATCAACGCGGTAGAAGAGGACGGGGGAGGTCCATCGCGGGACGTACGCCAATTCTTGAGGGAATGGACTCCTGAGGGTGAAGGGGCAGATGATACCGTCAGTATAGAGGACAGGGAGGGGTCCCCGGAAGAAGATAGCTCAGCGGAGGAAAGACCAGTGGCGATGGAGGAAATAGACGAAATCATCAACGACAAGCATAGACAGGTAATCTGGAAAACCAGGACAACAGGGATCATGAAAATAGATTACCGAAGATACGGGAAAAGTAGGATTCGCGTCATTTGGTCGCAACCCGGGGTGAGCGAGGAGCAAATCCGTACGGCACTGAAGGACGCCACGGAACCGGGAAAGACACACCATCTCTATGTTGGGAACAACACGGTATGGGAGAAAATAAAGCGGATGTGGAGATCCGAGCGAATAGGCATGGATAGAACGATCATCCGGTGCAAGTATGCAGTGGAAACCGTACAGGATGAGGAGCAGCAACAAGCAATTACATTGGCATACCACCAGGGGAAGACCAACCACCGAGGCGTCAACGAGACGTTGCAGGCATTACGGCGAAAGTATTTCTGGTGGGGAATGAAAAAATCTATCCAAGGAATCATCGGGAAATGCGAGGTATGTATGCGCACAAAGTATGATCGACACCCCCCCAGAGGAGTTCAGGAAGAGACACCTACAGGGAATATGCCGCTACAAGACCTCCAGATCGATACATTCACCTGGAAAGGGTTCAAGTGGGTCACGATCATCGACACCTTTAGTAAAGTAGCTATGGCACATCAGGTCATGGACAAGTCTGCCAATGCAGTTGCGGAAGCCCTACAAATCTGGATACAGTTTTACGGAGTTCCCGAGAGGATCACATCAGACGGTGGCAGAGAATTCGACAATACCGCGATTAGGGAGGAGGTGAAAAGGTTAGAGGTTGTGTGGCATTATAACACACCGGGACACCCTAAGAGTAGAGGAGGAATCGAACGTTTGCACAGCACGTTGAGTGACCACATCCGTGTATATCAGGGAGAGAAAGGGTTGGAGCCGGATGTTGCGATGAAGAAAGCCGTAACAGCTTACAACCATTCGATCCACTCCGTAACGGGGTTTTCACCTGTGGAAATACTATTCGGGATGCGCAGGCCAAGGAGAGATTGGGGGGAAACAACGACCAATGAACATCTCGTAGAGCAAATCCAGAGTACTAGGGTAGAGGTAGGAAAGACGTGGGGAAAGGTAGCGGGGAGAATTCAGCGGGAAAAGGAGAAGCGGGTAGCGCGGCAGAATGTGCAGGTACGTGACCGAATGGGAGAATTAAAAATCGGAACAATAGCGTATCGTAGAAAGGTTATCTACCTATGATAAAGTATTATTGTGCTTCTCAGTGTTTTGTATTTTTCAAGTTTGTTCTGTTAGTTTTGTTGTATCGTTTCCTACTGTTTGTGTTATTTTAGTGTTTTATAGTTTTTTGAACATGATTTAGTTTTAGTTTATGTTTATTTAGTTAATTTTATAAACTTTTTGAGTGAACAGTGGAGGTTAAGGTTAACTTTGTGGTTTTCACGAAGGTTTAATCTAACCAAAAGGACGTTTAGAGACTATTACGTTGGTGAAGCAAGACTAAGGTAAGTTCATATTAAAGTCTTACTTTTGAAGATAGGAAATTTATAAGTTTCCCGAACGTAGGTTAGATTTTGAGTGTTGAATATTTCCTTCTACTATTGTTCACCCATTATTTCAACGTATAAAGTTGTTAATTTTGGATTGCGTAAGATGGCTGATGAAATTGCATCAGCAATGGAGCAGGAAATGGTGGAAGAACAGGCTATAAAGTGCCCAAGGCCTTCAGCAAAGAGGCAAAGGAAAGGATCTCCTGACGCCCGAGAAGAAACAGATAAAGAACGTGTAGACGATAGTCTTCTGCAAGATGCACGTAGAATCAAAGAAAACATCAGGGTCTACATGAACGCAACAGACAGGAACGTGAGTGCGAAGGTACAAAAGCACGTTAATGGGAAAATTCAGCAGTTAATAGATATAATGGAGACAATATATGATAAGAACTATGAAAAAACGTTTTTAGTACAACGTGTGGTAAAGGACACATTAGCTTCCTCTGAAATGTATGATATCATAGTAAATGCATTAGTGGAAAAAGCAGTACCTATGGTAATCGAGGGAATCAAGACGGAAAGTAAAACCATACAAAGACCACTGTCAGAACCTCAGACATCTCGGGAGTTTCCATGTGTTAAAGAACAACCGCTATTAGCCGATGCCCTTATTGAGACCACGGAGAATGAAAGTTTCCAGGAAGTAAAGAAAAAGCAAAGAAGGAAAAAGGCTCTTCCACAAGTGGCCAAAGAGATCGAGGCCTCTAAACCTATAGCAGAGGAAAGTTTGACCAAGAAAAGGTCTACACATCAGACTACGATGGCCGATATTGTTAAAGGGCTTCCATTAAAACCGATGGATACTACAAGACCAACTTATGTTACCATCGCTTCTCAAGGTAAAAGTGCAGCTGACATCATCAACAACCTGCCTTCTCCAACTGAACTAGGAGTCAAGGCGAGAGTTGTACGGGCGACCAAAGCTGGCTCAGTTTTAGTTTGTGTAGATGAGGGTGCCCATGCGAAAAAAATAATTGAATGGCAAAAATTAAAAGAAGTTGGGATGGAGGCAAAACTAGCCTTAAAAAGAAAACCAAAAGTGGAGGTAAAAGGAGTTCCCCTTTCATGGACTGCGGAAAATCTAGAAAGGGTGCTATGGGAAAGGTTGGCTGCAAAATCGGCCGCTATTTCTGAGAACCAATTAGGTAATATAAAGCCATTGTTCTCATCAATGGCTAGAAATAAAATTACCAATAATTGGGTGTTAGAAGTACATCCAATGGTAAGATATAATCTACTCAAGGAGGAGATAATTACAGGAGGTTGGTGGTCACTGACAATCTTAGATTACCCCGATGCTCCTCCCTGTCTAAGGTGTCAGGGATATGGACATACAAAAGCTACTTGTGAGGCAAATGGCATAGTATGCAAGTGGTGTGCGGCGAGTGGGCATATTGCTAAAAACTGTCCCGCAAAAGGAAATAAGACCGCACCTACATGCGTTAACTGCGTGAGGGAAGGTGTTCAAAAAAGTAAGGCTAAACACCAGGCAGGAAGTAGAGAATGCCCAGTGCACATCAAGAGATCTCAAGAATTAGTGAGGAGAACTCACTATGATTAGACTCAACATCCTGCAGTTGAATATGGGCCGCCGGCATATTGTGGCTGACGAGCTTCGCGCCATGGCACAACGCTACGATATCATGGCGGTCCAGGAACCTAGCTGCCGTGGGAACAGGGTTACGGGGTTTGGCCTCACGTCAAGAGTTATAGCCCTGAGCAGTGGAGAGAGGAGGCCCAGGGCTGCAATAGTGATTAATAATCCTAACCTTGACGTGATGGATCTGAGACAACACACCATGGCGGATTATGCATCTTGCTATGTTAAGTGGGGCAAGATTTCTTTCACATTGGTATCGGCATACCTACCTGTGAATAGTGATGTAGAAGAAAGCATATCCGCTATGGAGGCGATCATTAGAGAGATGAGGAATGTGATCATGTGTTCAGATACCAACTCCTGGAACACGGTCTGGGGGTCCAATATTACTGACAGGCGAGGCGCTAAAATGGGAAATTTCATAGGCAGAAATCACCTTGTCGTGATGAACGAACCCTCTGCCACCCCTACCTTCTCTGGAGGCATGGGGCAGAGTTGGATTGACGTCACGATCGCCACGCCTGCGCTTACGAGGTATATTGCTGATTGGACTCTCAGATCTGATACGAGTTCCGATCACGTTGCGATAGCAATTGGCCTGGTAAATGAGCCAGGATGTTCCCACGGTACTGATAAGGGTTTCGTCACTAAAATAAATGACTGGAGTGTCTTCAGGTCCTACCTGGAAGGAGTGATTGCAGACGAGGAGTGGGAAGCGGCAGAGATGGATGTAGTCGACAATCTGGACTACAAGGTGTCCAGGATTACCAACAACATTCGTGATGCTGCCGAACACTCCCTCAAGCACCGGAAGGCGAGGGTTCGACCTGTCCCATGGTGGACGCCAGCCTTAACTGTTCTAAAACGAGACCTCTACAAGGCCCGGCGGTCATATCAGAGGTGCAGATGCGACGAGAGGCGCACTGTACTTCGCAATGAGTACAAGTCAAAAGCCAGGATATACCGAAACGAGGTTCGCTCACAAAAGCGGAAATCTTGGGACGATTTCATCATTGAAGAGTCTTTGAAGAATCCCTGGGGTATTCCGTATAGGGTAGCATTGGGTAAGTTGTCCCCGATGCAGACTATTGCAGCCTTGCGGTATCATGATACTGAGGCAACCACCCTTGAAGAAACTGCCAATGTTTTCATTGAAGCAATATATCCCAGAGATGACCCAACCCAGGACAGCGAAAATGATGATTTTGTGAGACGCACCACGGTATATCCAACTGGTTCAGATTTGTGCCCACCATGGGACATTCACGATCTTCGTATTGCCGTGGATAAGCAGAAGACTAATCGTGCTCCAGGACTTGATGCAATAGATGCAGCGATCTTAAGGAACAGTATCACGTATATTGAAGACCGGCTGTTGAGTATTTTCAATGAATGTCTGGATATGGGATACTTTCCAAGAAGATGGAAGATCGCTGATTTGAGACTACTCTACAAGGGAGGAGATAGGGACAAACAACTCCCTAATTCATATAGACCTATATGTCTCCTCCCTGTGATTAGCAAGGTCCTGGAGAACCTCATGATGACTAGTTTACGGCCTGTTTTCGCTAGAGCAAGTCATCCACGGCAATATGGATCAACCAGAGGCAGAGGAACCGCTGATGCCCTGCTGAGAGTGCGCAGAGATGTTGAGGAGAGGGCGGAGCGGTATGTCATGTTGCTTCTTTTCGACATATCCTCCGCCTTCGACAGCGTATGGTGGCCTAGCGTGCTCCAGCAGCTGCAGAGGTATGATGCTCCTAGTAACTTATACACACTAGTAAGAAGTTATCTCCAGGATAGAAGTGTCAAGATTAGAGGCAATTACTACGAGGTAGAAGCTTCCATAGAGAGAGGTTGCCCTCAGGGATCGGTGCTTGGTCCTGCTCTATGGAAGCTCGTCTTTGATGAGTTACTGGGAGTGTTAGAGGAGGAGCGGTTTCCTGCCACTGCTTACGTTGACGACCTAGCTGCTGTGGTGGCCTCCAACAGCAGAGCTGGAGTCAAGAGAGAAGCAGAGCGATGCGCCAGCCTAGTCGCTAGATGGTGTGAGGGGAAGAAGATGAGGATGGCTGCTGCTAAGACTCAAGCCATCCTCCTTAAGGGAAAGACTGATAGGGCACACCCTATAACGATGTACATAGAAGGTCAGAGGATACGTCCAAGTGAGGTGGTAACCTACCTAGGGGTTAGGTTAGGTGTAGGCCTCAATATGACGCCTCATTTGGAATATCTGGCAGGTAGGGTGGCCCTAGCAATGAACGGTCTAAGTCGTGTGGGGGGCGCATTTTGGGGCCTTAGGTATCCAGCCACTATCACTATTTATAAGGGTGTTGTGGAGGGTATCCTTAGGTATGCGTCTCCCTTCTGGTTCCGAAACCTCACACTCAGACAAAGAAATAGGCTAGCATCGACTCAGAGAACTGCTCTGCTTCGGGTCACCAGAGCATATAGGTCTACGTCGCATGAAGCAGTGCAGGTCTTAGCGGGGGTGGTGCCTCTCGACCTCCTCCTGCGAGAAGAAGTGACCAGGTACGACTACAAGAAGGAGGGCTCAACTAGTCTGACGGAGAACCTACGGATGAGGATTATTGAAAACCCAAATAAATGGAAAAAGATTATCCGGGAGGAAACAATTGAAGATTGGAGCAGACGGTGGGTGACGACTTCGAAAGGCAGTACCTTAAGAAAATACTTTCCCACCGTTGAATCTCGGTTACAGGCGAAATGGGTCCTCCCGGACTATTGGGTTTCACAATTTCTCACGGGGCATGGGGGTTTCAGAGCTAAACTCCATGGCTTCGGACAGGATATAGATCCCCACTGTCCCGCTTGTGGTGTTCCGGAGACTGTTGAGCATGTGGTCACGGCCTGCACTGCTTTCGACGAATTAAGAGCGAGGTTAATGAGAACCACGGAAATTTACGTCCTCACTGAGGAGGAGTTTCCTCAGTTGGTGAGTGAAGAAAACTTTCCGCGGTTCAAAGACTTTATAAATGGCTGGAAGACGGCGGTAGGCCCAGCTCACTTCAACCTAGGTGCACACAGAAGGAGAAGAGGACCAGTCCCAGGAAGACCTCCGGATTCGGGAAACCAGGCCTGAAGGAGCCAGGAAAAAGTAGAAGAGCTAGCTGTGTGCACAGCTTAGAACTTTGTAAACTGATATTATGGCAGTAGTGTGTTATTATGCATTAATGTTTAACATCACACTACTGCATACACCCGTGTTGCCCTGGTGGCATGGGAGGGTGGAAAACAAATAAAATAAAAAAAATAGTGTATCGTAGAATTGGAACCAACAGAGGGAAACAATTGTTACGGTACGAGGGGCCATTCAGAGTGGTTGCTATTAGGGAGCATAATCTGGTAACCATTGAAAGCATTAACGAACCTAAGAAGAGGAGAACTGTTCATATTGAACAATTGAAGCTCCCAATGTTAGAACCGGTACAGAAACCAACTGATTCGTAGTACCCTTATCGCGTATTATAAAAAAATATGTTTTTTTATTATTATTACTGTTGATGATGTCATTTTTTTTTATTATTTTTGTTGTTCTTGTAAATAAAGATATGGCAGCATAATAGAGGTGATTGTAATTTTTATAGGATTAAGAGTTCTGTTCCATTGTTAATAAGACGTTGTGTGTTTACTTTCTGTGATTTATTTCTTTTTATTTATTTCTCGTTCCAGCGGAGTGGAAGTGAGGTTTGGTGTACTTTAAGTTTATACTGGTACGAATAATTGTAAAGGGTTAAGGCTGATACCGGTGGCTCCGATCTAGGAATTTATAAGTTTCCGAAAATCCTATTCGTAAACTGGTGGGGGGGAGATAAAGACCGGAGACTGGCGATATCAGCCTTAATACCATCTTGTAATGTAAATAAACATAGCAATTGTATATAAGGCAGATTATTGACCGAATAAAGCAGTGTTTATTCAGAAGCCGTGAGTATTGTTTCTCGTTCCTCTTTCCTTCTTTTTTTTTATTTACACAGCCCGGAGACGCTTAACTTATATATATATATATACAAACATTTGTTACATAATAAGGAGTATTTAGGATTTTACTGAGGATTTTGGATTATAAGGATAGGATAGGGGAAGAATTTGATGTTTTTGTCGAGCCCCAAAGCTCAATACCATATTTCCAAATGGGCCTGTTGATGGTAGTGTAAATAGGTTTTTGTAGAATATTGGAAGTTTAGAGCGTTTGTCAAGTAAGTGTTGAAGTAGTCGGAATCTGTTGGCAGTTTCTTGTCTTTTAAGTCTAGTATGTAGCTGCGGTAATTTTAGGTTTTGTAATTATCTGGCAAATTCATCCAAGAAAGCTATACCAAAAACGAGCAAGAAAAAATTCCTACCTGTATAAATAAATTTATATATAATATAATTTATTCCTTTCCGTCATAGAAAACTGGAGGAAAATTATAGAAACAAAAAAACTGAAAGAAATTCCGAAGGAAAAGATTGAAGAGAAATTCAAACAATTTCGTGACTCATAATTGATACTGGGGTATTGTTTTCAGCTCACTACCATATATTTGGTTTTATCTTCATTTAGTTGTAGGTTGATTTTCTCTTCTTCTGTTATCACTATGTCATCTTGATTGTAATATAGGTAATATATATTTATAATCGATTAGGTCAATAACCTTATACAATAAATTTTCACTTTTACAACATACTACATGCAAAATATATTTTACTTGTTGGCCCTTGTGAATAATTTGCAGAAAATTTTGATTAGTGAAGAAATAGCAAAACAATATGGAAATAATTAGTTGCTATGTATTATGTAAGGAAGGAATTAATATTTTTTCCTTGGTCGATTATAATATTCCATTTAACATGATAGACCAAAATATTTGTACAAATATCTTTGCTAGAACCTATTTTTAAACGCTGACTGGAAAGATGATAAAAGTAATAAAGACAAAATAATACCCCGATCATGGGATTTTCTAAATTATTAAAAAATAAAATAAAATGTAAGAATAAAGAAATGCCTTTAATAAATAATAAAGTTAATATATCAGCCAGGAAAAAAAGTGTAGTAGACTATTCTACTCCTAAAGGCAATATCTTTAAAGAGGAAGACATAATTAACTAAACAAAAACTAATGGACTGTATCTTTGCTAATAATTATCCAGGTATGCCTGCATCTAAGATGTTTATTTTCATTACTTTTTTTTTTTTTTTTAAGATAATTTTAATTCTATTTTATTCATTTATTTTCATTCTATTATTACTATTATTTATATTTTCTTTCTTCACTATGATATTTTATTTTGTTCTTTTGTAGCTTTATATTATTTGAAGTTAGCTTATTTTTTTTTTTTAATTTGTAAATATGGTGTGAATGTGCTCTCAGAACTCTATTATAAATGTTCTCTATTGAGACAGATTGTAATATTTATCAATAAAGAAATAAATATCAAATAATTATCCGATTTTGTTTTGTTTTGTTGGTAATTTAGTAATCTTTCTAATTATCATGGGTACAATCAAGAAAAACTTTTGAGTTATTCTCAAATAAAGTTTCTTTTCCTTCATAACTTTTTCCCCAGAAATTCGGATAGGACTATTTCTCGCATGTGAAGGAGAAGAATATTTCAAAATGAGTGGTCAATCATTGGATTTGATGAAGAATTGACGAAGTTATGGCGTACCGAACAAAAAAAACATCTTTTAGAAATAATATATAGAATTAAAAAAGAAATACTATAACAATTTTGAAATCCTATTCACTCAAATCAATCTACTTCCATATCTAATTAAATATCTCCGTATATTGATAGGGAAATTGACATGAATTTAAACTTATCATGCTTGAAACTCTTTTGGATGTTGACATGCACCGATACGTAGAACAAAATCTATTTGCCAGGATTTGTGATGTGTAATATGAAAGTCACTCGGCTACTATACCAAGTTTAAAAATACTTAACTAGATATCAATTTTCTGATGAAGGTGCTTAAGTGGTGGGTACAATCCAGAAAAAAAAAGCATACTTTCTAGTTATTCGCAAATAAAGTTTCTTTTCCTTCATAACTTTTTTCCAGAAATTTCGGTAGGATAGGAATATTTTTCGCATGTTAAGGAGAAGAGTATCTTCAAAATGAGTGACCAATCATTGAATTTGATGATGAAGTTATGGCGTACCGACAAAAAAATACCTTTTTGAAATAACATACAGAATTCGTAATTGAAAAAAAAAAATTAACAATAATAATAACGATAGGTCTTATCAAAATGGTTTTATTGTATATTAATTCAGAACGCCCGACTTGCAATAATGAATTCCGTTTTTCAAATATCTTTCTTAAATTGAAAGTTTCTTAGGGTTTTTGTCATTTTTTCCTTTTCCGACCCCTGTGCGACACTCGGTAGATGGAAGAACATAGACAACGATTGGTGGCGCGGGCATCGAACCTTTAGCTTCGCTAAGCCTTATTATTATTATTTTAAAATACCCATACTCCTATTAAAGTAAATTTTAACCGGTTGAATTCTGTTTGAATAAGTCTTAATTACTTCATCAAGCCTGATTGATTCTCTTTTTTGTTAATTTTAGAATACAATAGACATAAGGCGTCCACAATACCTTTAATGCACCCGAAAAGAGAACATTGCATTTGATTCGAACAATGGGCCGAGTTGCAGCGAAGCCGAAAGCCATTTGAATGCAAGCCAAGTGCATCGCTCCCCCTGAATAGGTCCGGAAGCGGCTAACAAGGAAAAAAAAATCATCGCGGAAGCCTTTTGAATTTGAGCGGGAAAAGAAGGAAAGAAAAAAGGTCTGAGGATATAACCTTGGTGTAAGAAAAACAAGTGTTGTGAAAGGGACAGGCAGATGTCGGGGCACCTGGGACCCCAAACACACCTGCCCCCAACGGAACTGCTTCCACGTGCTCCTTTATTACTCAAAGTCCGTTCCTTTTTTCCCTCCCGAGGGGCGGCCTACAAAGCTTCAACGACCAGTCCACAATACTCGAAAATAAATTTATGTGTATCGTGTTTTGATTGTGAGCAACTGATATAGTGATTCCTTTCGGCCATTGAATTGGGCACACTATGGGACTCGGGATAATCCACTTGCTCCGGCGAGTCCTGAGATAATAATGAATTTGTAACGGGTGAGCGGAAGGGGGCGCTAGGATCGGACCTGTTGTCTTCTATTGGAGCACTTTGCAATTTTCGACACCTGCCCCCATCCGTATCCCGTCTATTCAATTCACGTCCAACAGGTAAACTGATTGTTGCGTTTAGATCCTGAAAATACATTTAACTTCTGTTAAAAGCTTTGGTAGATTTGGTATCAGTGTTATTTTTATAATCTTATCAATAACTTAAATGACTAAGTCAGCTTAGACAATTATAAATGGAACCCTAAAATAACTTTAAATGCCAAAAATTATTCTTTGAACATACGAAAAAATCTTTACGGTCACTGTTTTCAGCCTTTTTTTTAATTTGGTTTGTTTGATGTATTCAATTATGAGTTTTAGTCATTGTTTACGGTATTTTTTAGTATAGTCAGATTAGTATTGGCGCATGTTTGGCAAGTTGGACGATGTAGACCAAGAAGTAGGTGAAGATAGATTAGCTTGTTGTATACAATACTTAACCTGCAAATGATGGAACAAATGTTTATTTTCATTTTATTGACTTAATAAAGTTCAAAATAATAATAAAATAACAGTAAGAAACAAATATGTTTAGTTTCACTTATAAAAATATGACCACTCAAACTTTGCTGGCCTCTAAATTCTGTTGCTCGGAGGAAGTGCGCCCTTCGACATCTTCAATTCTTTTCATGCTCAGTGTGAAACTTCATTAGTTCATGAAATAAACATGTGGGTCACAGGCGGATCTACGGGAGGGCTTTCGGGCTGAAGCCCCCTCCCCTCTCAATGGTAAAATATAACCATATTTTACACAAAAAAATATTAAAAACTATCTCTTAAAGTATCGTTTAATTACATTTAATAGGACTTCAGGAACCACTTAAACACCATTTCATATAGTTAGTTTATTTATTTCTTCTTTTTCTAAAATTATTTTTATGAAGATTTATGAAAAAAAAACGTTAGGGCTGAAGCCCCCCAAAATTAAATCCTGGATTCGTTAGTGATGTGGGTCAAGGAGGCAATGCCGGCCTTAAGGTGGGGCAACCTAGAGGGGTGTCGACCTGGAGGAATAAAAAAAAAAATATTAAAATAATTAATTTTAGCCTATGAATAAAACAACTTTATCAGAGAAATGGGAATGAAATAAAATTCAAATATAACATAACATAAAATGGCTTAAACAATAAATTTAATTTCTTTAGGGGGAGATGACTTCATTTTCCGTGGGCACCGAATGTCTTAAGGCCGGAAGTGCCTAATTATATGAGAGGGACAATCAGCAGATATGATGGAAATATATATCGTAATGGCATGACAGACATGAGCAAGGATAGCATCAAGCGCTATCTCTTCCTGGTCTTTGTTTGCTTTCGTAAATTAGGGAAGGAGATCTCTCATTCAGCTCCTCTTCAGTCTGCTCCTAATGGGCATGTTAACAGTGACCATGTCGGTTATGAGTCTGTTGTTCCCTACTAAACTATATAAAAATCGTTCATTTTTGACAACTATTAACGAAGTTACAGCTGTTCAATTCTGATGATGTAAAATGTGAAATCAATAATAAAATTACATCAATTTTATAATCAGTTGAAATTACTGTTATAAAAATAAAAATATATAAATATAAGATATATGAAGTTTATCACATGCATTATATATATGGGGGAGCATATAGGAATGAACTACAAAATCCTAGGATATGCAGATGAAATGGCTATCATTAGAAGACAAAACAAAATATATGATAATAAGCAAAAAATTCCACTCCGATGATAGGATCTGCGTAGAAGAAAACTTCTCCCATGAGTAGAAAAATTCAAACACCTCAGTTCTACAATAACATCAATGAATGACCAACGGTCGGAAATAGACCAGTTTATAACTAGCGCAAAAAGAACTTTACCCTCCCCTTTCAATGATATTGAAACTCCGAAAAATTTCAAATTAAGGGTATACAATGCAATGATAAAGCCAGTTCTATAAGATCTGGACATTAACCAGCGCACTAGCAAAAGTATTAAAAGATTTGAGAGAAAAATCCTCCGCACGATAACCGTTAGAGATCAGAGCACTAACACAGGAAGAAGAATGACCAAAAAAAGAGCTGCTCATTGAAACTGGTCAATCAATATCTCATAACATCAAGGCACGGAGCAATCCTCTACACCACAAGATTGATTACCTCAAAGGTAGGCAAAAGACCACTTAGAAGGCCAATCAACCAAAGATCGAATCAACAAAGATGCAATAGAGCTCCAAGGAGATAACTGGACAGAAATAGCCTAAGATGGGCAGATATAGAGAAGGCTTGTTACAATTTTTGTAATGCCAACAGAAAAAAAAAAATGCCATCTGTTCACTTTTCAATATATAATGTTTATTATTCGAACAGGTCAACTAGTTGTAATTTAATATAATAAAAATCTCATGATAATAGACGTATGTATAAACAGTTTAATACATACATTTTCGTGTTTTTGTTTTTTTTTAACAAGAAAATCTTATATTCCACTGGTTGTATTGACTTGGTTTTTTGTTCGTTCAATTAAGCATAAAAACATATACCAAAAGACACCTCACTCTACTAGCTCTCTGGATTGGACTTACTGCCTAACCACCCTAAAAAAGGATACCTTACTATTGTATCATTTTAAATAACTCGATTTACTTATTTGTAGTTAGCCCTGATGACGACCTGAACTTCAGGTCGAAAAGTCGGCAAATGTCAAAATAAATATTATTATTTATTTTTGCCTTCTTATTTGACTGATCACCCCAACTATTCTTCTCTTCATTTTAAATAACATTTTAAAGGTTAAAGTAAAAATTATCCGAAACAAATCAATAAGGAATTGCTGGATATTGCGGTTATGAAATATTATAGCTTCACTAATATAAATAAATTTAGGTTTAAGTCTGTGTTTAGAGTAGAAGAACTAGATTAATAGTGGTGAAGCAATAATGAATATTGAAAAAAAAAATTTATATTATATAATTGCAGATAGTAAGGTTTGGGAAGTTAATTGCGGGTAATAGTCAGTGATAAACACACACAAAAAAATAAAAAAAGTAATTTATAAAAATTTGTGTTATGATCACACTTTTTATTTAATAAGAAGAAATCACTCAATAACTGTTAACAAAATAATTAAATTCTGAGTTCACCAAAGTGAAATAGACAAAACTTTTTTGAGAAAACAGTGATTAAATTTACTAAGGTCAATGATAAGAGGGGCTTTCTGAAGGTCTAAAACGTCCATTAAAATGGAATTTACTTGATGTATTTATGTAATACAGTTGTAAATGTCATAAAGAAATTAAAAAAAAAATGGAGTACACGAATGTACATTTGGTATAAATCATATATGCCAAATTAACTCGCTGGACTTTCTGAGTTTTGCTCGAAAATTATTGTACACAATTTATAAACCACCTCGAACAAATTAAAGTTAGAAAAACATGTAAGTAACCAATTCATGCCATTTTAGGAAGTCGGGACCTAACTTGAGCTTTTCCGTTCTCAGAATTGAAATGCCTGAACCCAGAGCTACGGAGAGAATCCCAGGGACAAATTTTCTCGGACACCCGAAATACTCAATATATTTCAAAATCGGTATACTTTGTCTACTTAATGATATACTAAATATTAACGAAGAGTTATATGCTTTTCACTCGAATCGTAAGATCATTTGATCCCAAAATCAAGAAAAAGTATGCTATACAAAAATATTGGACCGTTTGGCATGAACTTTACCCCCAATATGTCAAAATAACGAAGCTATATAGGATACGAAGTCCAATATTTTTGTAGGCCACATTTTTGCTCGAGTTTCTGATCAAATTATCTTACGATTCAAGAATAATCCAAACGGGTTTCATGAATTTTCAGTACCACATTAAGTTAATTAATCTACCTAGAAAACGCCACATTTCTTGGAATTTTCATTAGGTTACGGTGAGATGAAGCCATTCACGAAAGTTGTGGACGGAAATTCATAAATTGATAAACAGGGGTCTGTACCACGGTCTAATATAAACTGTAGTGAAGGAGAGGGACAAATTACATGTAACAAATAACAAGGGCAATGTTTATATTAGAGTTCAATAATGCTTAAAACGGATTTAATTCGATGTCAGTAATGAATCAGAGATGCTTTTTATAAGTTGTTCCATTGTCTGGATACTAGGACATCCTTGTTTTTCAATGTATACATAATAGTATAAAATATACTTTCATACTACGTAACATTGAAGTAATCAAGAGGACATTTAGAAACTCGCTAAGATTCTGATGACGCAGAGCAGAGCGGTCTACACGTAAATGATGATAAAATAAAGTATATGATAATAGGCCGAAAATTCCAACCCAAGAACAGGATCTGCGTAGAAGTAAAATTATTCCCGAGGTTAGAGAAATTCAAATATCTCGGCTCAATGAATGCTCAAATAGACCAAGCGTATATCTAGCGCAAACAGAGCTTTCTTCTCCTTTTCAAAGGTATTAAAATTCCGAAAAATCTCAAATTAATGGTGTACGATGCTATGATAAAGCCAGTGCTAATATATGGCTGTGAGACCTGGATACTAACCAGCACCCTAGAAAAAAGTGTTGAAAGATTTGAGAGGAAAATCCTCCGCACGATAACCGGAACGATCTAGGATCAGAGTACTAATAAATGGAGAAGAAATACCAATAAAGAACTGCTTACAGAAACTCGTCAATCAATATCCCATGAAAACACGGAGGTGAGAAGGTCGGGGCATGAAGTTCTTAGCAATCCATCTGGAAGCCTCTACATAACAATGAATGCCTCAATAGAAGGCAAAAGACTACGTGAACGCCCAAAAAGTAGATGGATAGATAGAATCAACAAAGATGCAATAGACCTGCGT